TCCTACGATAGCCAGTGGGATATGGTGTGGAAGGAGGCCTGCCTCAATTAAGAAGCCACAGCAGCAATCCAAGCAGGGGGTCGTAAGGGCCTGATCTAAGGCAGCAGACAAGAAGATTGGCGGGGGTGGGGAGTGGGGGCAGGGTGGGGATGGTAGGAGATATTAAACAGGTAGAATCTATAAGGACTGGCAAATGAGAGTGTGGGGCTGTGGAAAGTGAAAAGGAAGCAGGCCGGGTGCAGTGGCTCACACCTGTAATCCCAGGACTTTGGGAGGCTGAGGCAGGTGTATCACCTGAGGTCAGGAGTTCGAGACCAGCCTGGCCAACATGGTGAGACACCATCTCCACTAAACACACAAAAACTAGCCGGGCATGGTGGCGAGTGCTACTAGGGAGGCTGAGGTGGGGGAATTGCTTGAACCCGGGAGGTGGAAGTTGCAGTGAGCAGAGATCGCACCACTGTACTCCAGCCTGGGCAACAGAGCGAGACTCTGTCTCAAGGAAGAAAAAAAGGCTGGACTGGGCAGCTGAGTGAACGATGGTAACATTTTGGAGATGGAGATAAGTTGTTGACATCTAAAACAGTGCCTGCAGTCATGCCTGGCCCAGCACTGAAAACAGTTCCCAGCCCTGGTAGATACAAGTTGGCTCAACGCTTAAGAACAATTTCTTCGGAGAAATGAGGAAGAAGCTGGTCTGCCCTGGGTTGATAAGGGAATGAGAATGAAAGTGGTGTGGACAAGAACAAGAGCAGTGTGTTCTTTCCAGAAGCTTGCTGAGAGCGGAGGAGAGACTGATAGGAGCTGGAAGAGGATATAGGGTCAAGGTGGAGGTTTCTTCCGGAGATGACAGGCCAGGGGTGTTTGGAGGAAAAAGCTAGTAAAGAAGTTAAAGGCATAGTAGAGGAGGTGAGCAACAGAGCAGGATGCTGGAATAGCAAGGGGATGGTAAGCAGAGGTGGAGAGCTGGGCGGCGAGTAGCGGGCTGAGAGCTTCTTCCACGTGTACAGATGGGTGTTAGCGAACTCCCTCCCCACTCCTGAGTGCCTGACTCTTCTCAGTGAATGCCTCCTATGTTAAGAGGTATCACAGAACATTTCAGGAGGTGTTGGAAACTTGGACTAGTAGAACCAGGCAACGGGAGAAGGCACTGAGAGATGCTGATTGCTGAGCAGTGCCGAGAGCCAGTTGGGGTCATCTTTCTTCAGCTGGCTCCATGGCTGCGCTGGAGAAACAAGTACTGATTCACAACTGATCCATGTCAGTATCTGGCAGGTGAAATGAAAGACCAGATTTTACAACAGGATCGGGGACTGAGGCCAGAGTGCTTGATTGATTAAGTGATGAACCAATGACAGTAGTGAGGATGCTATCACAGCATATCAAAATAGGAAACTATAAGGCCGGGCATGGTGGCTCACGCCTGTAATCCCAGCACTTTGGGAAGAGGAGGGTGGCAGACTACTTGAGGTCAGGCCTGGCCAACATGGCAAAACCCCATCTCTACAAAAAATTAGCCAGGCATGGTGGCGGGCGCCTGTAATCCCAGCTACTCCGGAGGCTGAGGCAGAAGAATTGCTTGAATCTGGGAGGCAGAGGTTGCAGTGAGCTGAGATTGTGCCACTGCATCCAGCCTGGGCGACAGAGCCAGATTTCAAATAAAAAAAAAAAAAAAAAAGTAAAGTGTTAAGCCTAACATCCTTTGACTGTCTTGATTAAAACCATGAACACAGCAAGTCACAAACTACTGTAAGACTTGATTAGAAGTGTTGGCAGGGAAGAAGTTTATTAACACTAACACAAGTGCTTTTTAGAATACAAAACTCAGTTGTCACTGGAAAGATGAGGGCAAAAACTGAAGAATATTTACAAATAAGTTATAGTGGTGAGCATGCACATACATACAAAAGAGCACTAGTCAGGTTGGTTAAGGTCTGTGTAAGTTATTTACCGACTTTGCATTTTGTCTTCATGAAATTGAGTTTCTGGCAGGTCTGTTTGCTATGATAATTTGTCTTTTAAATGGAGATCATCTTAATAGAATGTAGTACTTAACCTCAAAGATAGGATTACTACAAAGCCTGTTTTTTCATGTTTGTTGTGAGAAACTGAATTTACTATATGTTATAGAAAACTGCATTTGTTAGATGTTTAAGAATTGGGTTCAGCCCGTCTCTACTAAAAAAAAAATACAAAAAACTAGCCGGGCGCGGTGGCGGGCGCCTATAGTCCCAGCTACTCGGGAGGCTGAGGCAGGAGAATGGCGTGAACCCGGGAGGCGGAGCTTGCAGTGAGCTGAGATCGCGCCACTGCACTCCAGCCTGGGCGACAGAGCGAGACTCCGTCTCAAAAAAAAAAAAAAAAGAATTGGGTTTATCCATCTAGGTTATAATAATCATCACAGTGCCCATGTGTATAGTTGGCCAATGTTGACCTTGACCTCATTGAATTTTTTTTTTTTTTCCAGACGGAGTCTCACTCTGTTGCCCAGGCTGGAGTCCAGTGGCACGATCTCAGGTCACTGCAACCTCCGCCTCTCAGGTTCAAGCGATTCTTCTGTCTCAGCCTCCCGAGTAGCTGGGATTACCCACCACCACGCCCGACTTATTTTTTGTATTTTTAGTAGAGACAGGGTTTCACCATGTTGGCCAGGCTGGTCTCCAATTCCTGACCTCAGGTGATCCACCCGCCTCGGCCTCCCAAAGTGCTGGGATTACAGGCGTGAGCCACCATGCCTGACCTCATTCTTTAACTCTATCATTTTATAAGTGGCATCAATTCACTTGCTTTTCAGAGAACACCAAAACCCTTCGTCTTTGCTTTCTCTCTAGAGGCCTATTTGACCAAAATAAACTCAGTGTGTAAATCACAACACAAGGCATGTTTCTTTGTCAACAATAATGAACATTTATTGACTACTTTTTAAATGCCAGGCACTGTGCTAAGCACCTTTTCATATATTCTTACCTGGTCCTCACAACAGCCCTGTGAGGTAGGTACAACAATTATCTGTCTTTTACAGATGAGGCTGAGTAACTTTTCCAACAATCCTCTAGTAAACTGTATCATAAGGCACTGTTTGGCTTGGAGAAGTGAAAGCTCTGGGGGAAAGACAGCCATAATAACTACCGTCAAATATCTGAGTAGACTCTTTGAGGTGGAGTGATTAGCTCCCTGAATCATAGCACCAAGAGGGAAGGACCTAGGGGTGAAAGTGACAAAGAGAACATCCAAAATGAAAGGGATTTTTCCAGCACGATGTAAGGTTGGAGAAGGAATTTAAGTACTGGATGAGGTTGAAATAGACAACTTTTGAGGGCATCTATCAACTTAGTCTACTATTCTCTTCCTTCTCTGTATTCTCTCCACTTCTTTCAAGTCATCACATATACTGGTACATTCATTCTTTTTTCCATTCAATAAACATTTACTGATCTGCGCTATCCAATACAGTAGCCACTATCCAAATGTGGCTATTTAAATTTATTAAAATTAATTTCGGGCTAAGCCCGGTGGCTCACGCCTGTAATCCTAGCACTTTGGGAGGCCAAGGTGGGTAGATCACCTGAGGTCAGGAGTTCGAGACCAGCCTGGCCAAAATGGTGAAACCCCTTCTTTATAAAAATAAAAAAATTAGCTGGGCATGATGGCGGGTGCCTGTAACCCCAGCTACTCAGGAGGCTGAGGCGGGAGAATTGCTTGAATCCGGGAGGTGGAGGCTGCAGTGAACCCAGACAGTACCACTGCACTCCAGCCCGGGCAACAGAGCAACACTCTGTCTCAAAAAAAAAAAAAAAAAAAAAAATTAGGTCCAACAAGAAATTCAGTTCCTCAATTGCACTAACCACATTTCAAATGTTAAATAACCACTTTTTTTTTTTTTTTTTGAGACAGAGTCTCGCTCTGTCGCCCAGGCTGGAGTGCAGTGGCGCGATCTCGGCTCACTGCAACCTCTACCTCCCCGGTTCAAGCGATTCCCCTGCCTCAGCCTCCCCAGTAGCTGGGATTACAGGCGCACACCACCACGCCCGGATAATTTTTTTTTTTTTTTTTTTTTGTATTTTTAGTAGAGGCGGGGTTTCACCGCGCCGTTTCAGGCAGCTTAGGTAGTGATGGTGGCCACATGAATTAAAAATCTGAGTCTTTGACCTTGAGGAGCTCATGGTCTAGTGGAGAAAAAAAAAAACCACCACCAGCCAACATTATTCATTAAGAACTAGCGCTTACGCAGCTCCTTCTGTAAATCGAGCAGTTTTTGTTTCTTTTCCCAATAAGCCTTTTGCACTCCTAAAATCACGCTGTTTACTAAGCACTTTTTGTGACTATCTGGTTCCATCTTCCTAACACCATCGAAATAGGTGTCATTATTATGCCCACTTTGCAGACAGGGTAACAAGTTAAATAATTTGCCCAACCTAAGTAACGAATACTGAGAAGGGCCACAAAGGAAGATGTGCTCAACTCCGTTTGGGGAGGTTAAGGAAGGTTTGAAGCAAGAAGGGACTAAAACTTACCGTTTGTCCACACCATGGTTACTGAACGTGTGGGCCGCCGACTACCTACTTCAGGATTACCTGGGGTGCTCTTTTTTAAAAAGTGTAGATTCCCTGCATCCCAAGTTGAAGCTCTGTGGGCAGGGCCTGGGAGCCTACGTTTTTAACAAGATCTCCGCCCCTGCCCCAGCAATTCTTTTCTGTTCACTAAATGAAGTTTAAGAACCACTAGTCCACACCGCATGGTTCTCTTTATTCAGCTTTCCCTCGCCGTTCCCTTGCCTTTGACCTCACTATCGATGGCGATTGGAGGCCGCGCTGCGTAACTGCGGGCTAGCCTCTCCGAGCCTCAGTTTCCCCGTGCGTAAAATGAGGAGCCCGGACCCGCGGAGCGGCTGCCCGGCGGCCCTGCCCGTCAGCCGCCAGGCGCACAGTGGGCGCTCCTCAAACGCGGCCCCTACCCGGCCGCCCGGGTCCCGCCCCTCTCGGCCAGCCCGGGCTGCCTACCGTCGCAGATTTGCTCCCACAGATTCTTGCTCGACGGCTCGGCGACCTGCCACGGCGAGACAGGCAGCTCGCGGGAACCGAGAGACACAGTGGACACCGGCGTCCGGGTGAACGACGAGTTTGTAGAGCAGCTGGGCTTACGGGGCACTGTGTGGCTGGGGACTTGCCGCGGTGCAGCCATGGCCGCGGTTTCCACGGTAACCGCGTTCGCCGGGAGGCCGCGACCCGGAAGAAGCCGCAACCCGAGAGGGTGGGCCGGCGACTCGAAGTGGACTTCCGGGTCGCGGCGGAGTGGGCTCTCACGTGGAGGCGGGGAAATTTCGCCCACCGGTGAGTGCCAGGATGCGTTGCAGGCGGGCCGGCGCGGGGTCTGGAGATTGCACCAGAGGAAGTGCGCGGCGGAGAAGTCGGGGAAATGCGGGCCACCCGCATCCCTAAATCCGACCCCTTCAGTCGGTGCGCGCCCGCTCTGGCCTGAGGCCGCTGCCTCCAGAAAGTTTTCCCGCCTCAGAGCCGGGCCTGGGACCCCACGTAATCCCTCCCAATCTGTTGCTGCGGAGGCTTGGGCGCAGGGGAGCCCTGGAGGCACCGATCTCACTTCCTGGCTCCCGCGCGTCTTGCAGGTGATCCTACGGGGGAGTGGGGTGTTGCTGCACTGGCTTTGGAGTCCTGTGGGCGGAATTCCAATCTCCTGTTTTCCACTTGATGGCTTTGGAACCTAGGGCAAGTGAATTATTAGTCTCTGGAGCTTGTGAGATCGGGTATTCACAATGATCCTCACAAGGCTGCCGCGGGAATTTAAAAGCGCTTTTGGAGAAAGCATATGAGTTTGCAGGAGATGCACTGTAATGTTCTTTTCCTTTCTCTTTGAAAGAGTGAATGCATTTGGTCGCAGGGCTCAAGAGGAGGATGCTATCTATACTTTTCTAAATGGCAGAGATGGGGAGAGAAGGGGATTAAGAGTTGACCCGCAACCTCCCGGTGGATTCTTTGTTCTTACCAGATCTCTTGGCCACTCCCCTGTTCTGAAGTCGTCTTGGCTTTCTTGACTACACTATTTCAAGGTTTGCACCTTCTTCTTTGCAAGCTCCTTTATCTCTGCCCACTTGTTTAAATGCCAATACAAAAGTACCCCTCCCCCGTTATCCCCGGGCAGTACGTTCCTAAACCCCCAGTGGATGCCTGAAACCACAAATAGTACCGAACCCTAAATATAACTATGTTTTTTCTTTTGTATACTACCTGTGACAAAGTTTATAAGTTAGGCACAGTAGGGCAGGGTGCGGCGGCTCACGCCTGTAATTCCAGCACTTTGGGAGGCTGAGGTGGGCGGATCACCTGGGGCCAGGAGTTGGAGACCAGCCTGGCCAACATAGTAAAACCCGGTCCCTACTAAAAATACAAAAATTAGCCGGGCGTGGTGGTATATGCCTGTAATCCCAGCTACTCAGGAGGTTGAGGTGTGAGAATTGCTTGAACCCGGGAGGTGGAGGTTGCAGTGAGCCGAGCTCATGCCACTGCACTCCAGCCTGGGCAACAGAGCGAGACCTTGTCTCACAAAAAATTAGGTACAGTAAAAGATTACCAACAATCTAGCTAGTAATAAAATAGAACAATTACAACAGTATATTGTAATAAAAGTTGCACGCGTGGGATCACCCTCTCAAGATAACTTGGTGTGCTGTGCTCACCTATTTTGGGACCAGGGTTGACCAGGGGTAACTGAAACCTGGGAATGGGAAACCTGGGATTGGGCTGGGGACTACTGTATTTCTTGAGGTCTTGTCTCACGCTTGTTCTGTTCAAGGCTTAATCACCACCCATACATTCCTAACTTTATGTCGCCCATGTCAGCACGGCCACCCAAACACACTTCATCCATATATTCACCTGTCCAGTGAACATCTCCAAAGCATCTGTCCAATCAAGCCTGTCCGTTCAGCCACTTGCCTTCAGTACCTTTGCCTCAGGGATTAATAGCACCATCCTGCAGTTGTTCTTCAGAAATTTTCCTGACAACTGGTAGGACAGGTTATACAACCTCCACCACCTGACCTTACCACTTGCTTTTATCACCTGTATCATTGTTATTAAGCCTTATTTCCTCCCACACCTACTTGCTTCTTGATGGGTGGTGTTTTATGTTGTTCATCTCTGTCTCCCTAGCATTAATTCATTCATTCAGTGAGTATTTATTGAGCACCTGGTATGTGCCAGGCACTGAGCAGGATGCTGGAAATAAACCAGGAAACAGGGCAGACAGGAATGAATGAGCATAGTTGTTCCCTTGACTCTCCAAGGTGCTCCTGGAGTGGGTTATGAATGAACTTGACCTGTGGCTCAGGCCTGGCCTGGCTCTTTGAAGCTCTTAACAGTGAGCCAGCTCCAGTGTGGACCCTGTAGGTTCTGAAGCTGAGGAGGGCTGCAGGATGGAGAAGCTTCTTTTCCCTCCCGTAATCCTAACTGCCTGTTAGATATTTTGGGATATTTTGCTTCTAGATTCTGGGAATATCTAGTGCAGGGAGCAGCAGGAACTTGGCTGGGGACTGGAGTGAGAGAAGTGGTCCAGCTGCACGCTGAAGGGTATTGAGGACCCCACAGCCCTTTCTCACAGGTGCCTCCATGATATCTGTCCAAGACAAGCTGGGTGCCCTCAGTACTGTGTATCACTGTGACTCATTCAGCATTGGCAATCAACTTCACATTTTAAAAACAGTGAAACTAGGCCAGGCAAGGTGGCTCATGCCTGTAATCCCAGCACTTTGGGAGACTGAAGCAGGCGGATCACTTGAGGTCAGGAGTTTGAGACCAGCCTGGCCAACATGGTGAAACCCCGTCTCTCCTAAAAAGGGAAAAAAAAAATCAGCTGGGTGTGATCGTGGGTGTCTGTTATCCCAGCTACTCAGGGGAGGCTGAGGCTGGAGAATCACTTGAACCCAGAGGTGGAGGTTTCAGTGAGCCAAGATCATGCCACTGCCCTCCAGCCTGGGCAACAGAGCAAGACGGTGTCTCCAAAAAAAGAAAAAAGAAAGAAAAAGGGATTTTACAATGTACCAAGCACTTTCCATGCGTTGTCTCATTTACTCTTTTCAACACCCTTTTGAGGAAGGAGGTGTTATATTCCCCCATTTTCCAGATGAAGAAATTGAGGCTCAGGGAGGTTAGCTGATTTACTTAAGGTGAGAGAACCATTTAGGTTTGAACCTAGGGCTGTCTGGATTTAAACTTTATGCTATTTCTATAGTATTTCTTTTTTTGCTCTAAAGGAATCATATCCATTTTCCCTATCCCGTAATGCTTAGTCCACCCACTCAAAGAAACATGGCTCTTGGCAATGCTTAGTAGAACTGAACACAGGATGGCTTGGTATAGGGGTAACTTGTACCATCTGTTTTTTCAGGAATGATCACCAAGACACACAAAGTAGACCCTGGGGTCCCAGAGAAGAAAAAGAAGAAGAAAGTGGTCAAAGAACCAGAGACTCGATACTCAGTTGTAAACAATGATGATTGCTTTGCCGATGTTTCTTCTATAAGAGCCACATCCCCCTCTAAGAGTGTGGTCCATGGGCAGGCACCTGAGATGCCTCCAGTGAAGAAAAAGAAGAAGAAAAAGACGGCTCTCAGCACCCTTTGCGAGGGGCATGTAGAACCTGAGACAATGCTGCATGCCAGACGGGCAGAGAAGTCACCCAGCCCCAGGAAGCAGGTGCTTGGCCACTTGGAGTCCCTCAGTGGGGAGAAGAAAAAGAAGAAGTCACCTCTGGCCATGTCCCATGCCTCTGGGGTGAAAACCTCCCCAGACCCTAGACAGAGTGAGGAGGAAACCAGAGTTGGCAAGAAGCTCAAAAAACACAAGAAGGAGAAAAAGGGGGCCCGGGATCCCACAGCCTTCTCAGTCCAGGACCCTTGGTTCTGCGAGGCCAGGGAGGCCAGGGATGTTGCGGACACCTGCTCAGTGGGAAAGAAGGATGAGGGACAGGCAGCCTTGGGGCAGAAACGGAAGCGGAAGAGCCCCAGAGAACACAACGGGAAGGTGAAGAAGAAAAAAAAAATCCACCAGGAGGAAGACACCCTCCCAGGCCACTCCAAGCCCTCTCGGTCCATGGAGAGCAGCCCTAGGAAAGGAAGTAAAAAGAAGCCAGTCAAAGTTGAGGCTCCAGAATACATCCCCAGAAGTGATGACCCTAAGGCCTCCGCAAAGAAAAAGATGAAGTCCAAGAAGAAGGTAGAGCAGCCAGTCATCGAGGAGCCAGCTCTCAAAAGGAAGAAGAAGAAGAGGAAAGAGAGTGGGGTAGCAGGAGACCCTTGGAAGGAGGTAGGTTTTCCTTCAGAAATGGACTCTGCCGTGGGAGAATTAAGGGTGGGGCTTGGGAGGGGTGTGTAGGCGTGTGTGCATGTTTGCACATGCACGAGTACTCATGCTTGTAGCTAAAACCCTGGTTAAATGAATTTCAGCCAGAATAGGGAGTTTATTGACATATGCAATTGGAAAGGTTATGGTTAAACTAGCTTCAGGTATGGCTGGATCCAGGGGCTCATGCAGCATCATCGATAATTGCAGGTATCCTTTGCTACTGAAACCAGCCAAGTTTTCCCTGTCTGCCATCAGGGTCTGAATTAACTGGGATCAATCTTACAGATGAATCCCTTGCTTTCTGAACTCTTGCCACTTGCTATCCAAAACTCAGGAACCAAGTAACGTGAGATAACCGTGCTCGTGGCTATCTGAGTATCATCAGAGCTCAGTATACAAAATTTATAAATCAAATAGATTTGGGTAGCAGGAGATGCCTGTGCGAGACTTCCTCAGCTCTGGGCTTTGTAGTTTTCTATTTTGGTTTATGGGCCATCCTCCTCCTCCTCTTCCATCACATCGTGGCTTGATGGTCCCAGCAGCCCCAGGCTTTCATCCCAGCAGTTCAGCCACCCCCAAAGGATGAAGGTGGCCCCTATAAAACTATGACAGAAGTCTCAGGGCCACTGTCGCAGGCCTCAGTTGGATCAGTCTATCCAGAAGCTCTAATCTAAAACCAAAGGTGGCCGGGTGTGGTGGCTCATGCTTATAATTCCAGCGCTTTGGGAGACCAAGGCAGGCAGATCACTTGAGGCCAGGAGTTCGAGACCAGCCTGGCCAACATGGTGAAACCCCGTCTCTACTAAAAATACAGAAACTAGCTGGGCATGGTGGCAGGCGCCTC